AAATGTCCGCGGACCGCAAACAACGGAGGTGCAGGGTCAGGTGTTAGGGACGTTCTAACTTTTCTTTACACGGACGTTTCCTAGCCGACGAAGGGTGGTATTTGCGCCGAGCACACGGTGTTGCTGTGCGACGAATACGCTAAATGGTGAAACTTTGCGGATGAGCGAGTGACATTTATCGTTCGTTCGCTGGGCGCGCGCGCGGCTCAAAATCAGTCGTTTATAAACAGCGCTGCCGTAAATTATTCATGACGCAAAAGCTCCGTTTAATTTACGACCCGCGATCGAGCTGCGAGACTAGGCGAAATTATAAACGGCGAGTGCCGTGACGACTACGTGCTCCGCATCGAATACAGCGTATAATCTTCGTGTTTAAATCCGCGATGATTAGAGCGGCTTAGTCACGGCTGAAAATGGAGTTAGCCGGATTTTAAATAGATTGGCGAATTTATATTATATTATATTCTGTACATTAAAACCGGATTTAATGCGTCCCTGCGAGCGACGTCGCGATGCGAAATTTAGAAATTCAGGAACGGTGACGACCTTCGCGCATTAAAGCCCCTTTCGTATTAACGGTGGCGATAAAGACGAATACACGTCAAGATTTATTTCTCGCTCGGGAGAACCGTAATCCGGCGGCGGTGTGCATTTACATTTAAGGAATAGTCGCCACGAAAAATACCTCCGCGGTTAACAATTTCGATTTAGCATGAGAAATACAACCGCGAACGGCGCATTTCACACACATCGTCACGCGGCTGGCATTTTATGCCACACGCGCATACAGCTGACAGGATTCCCCGGCTACGCCTACGTCACAAAAGTGATTTCGATTTCGAGAGCGAGGAGAAGTTCGAAGGTAAAGTCGCGGATATCAAGGAGCAAAAGGAAGGAAATATTCCGATCGCCTGGCGGAGGTGGCGGCTGGGTGTCGGAGGATAGAAAACGTTCAGCTCTACCACCCCACGGAATGTTCTGGAATAAATTCTCGCATTCCAGCGATGGCCGACGTGTCGGTGGGGGTCGAGAGGTGGCCGTCCAATCGAACGGACCGTTGCTCGCCTATCCCCTGGTCCTTACCTCCCCCCCCCATCCTCTCCCCGGAGACGACCGATGCCGAAGGGTGGTTGCAATAAGGGATGACATTCTCTTACGTCTGGAACAAAGGATGAGCACGCCGCGCCGTTCAAATGTCAGGAAGTTCCATTATGCCTTCCAGTCTGTCCAGGAAGCTCGTCTGGCGGAGCGAGTAACGCGTGACACTGTGATCGCCGACGTGTACACACCCGCGCATCAATATGGAATTTATAGAATTCTCTTTTTCATGGGCACAGTACGCGGGCGTACCAAGGAATCGTACGAACCACTTCAAATGGAACGCATTATAAATGCAATGGAAGTAATTATAAATATCTTTGGATTAACCCCTTTAACCTCTCTGCTACTAATTTTATTTTTTAAATGTATAATTCTATTTTTACTTTTACTTAGTGAAATACATTAATATATATAATGTAGTTTTAGCAAAAAAATTAGAAGTTTGATATTTGATGCCAAAGGGATGGGGTCGGAGCACTGATTGGGCATATTTGTCTCAACGATAATAAATAAAATGATAGCTGATGTGTGTTCTGAATGCCAAAGAATTGTTTAATCTATTAAATATGGTTATTATTAATAGTGAGCAAAACATTTATGTCTCGTTGATAACGAAAGGATCAAGTGGTATGCCCGAAAAAGTTTCGTGGTTAAATGTTAAGTTTTATCTGTTTATAAAAACCGTTATAGTTTTTTATAACTCATAACAAGAACAAATTAGATATGTCTTGTGCTCTATTTTTTCAAATGCTTTTAAGAAAATCACGATAAAAAGAAAAAAAATATAAAGTATGCTTATTAAAAGAAAATCTATCTTGAAAGAGGAAGAGGAGATTCACGCAGTCATTTTAAATCATCCACTCAAAAAAATGTTTTGCTGGTCCAAATAGAATTCTAAATGTCATAGTTAAAATTTATTGCTGTTTTTTGCTTTTGTTAGAAAATTGTCTGTGATACGTAAAATTTATAGCAACAGCATTTTAACAATACCTGTAAGCAAATTTAAATGGGTGTGATCATACATTTGTTTATCTCGTCGCTAGTTTTCTCTTGTCTACCGCAGTCAATTTTTATAAGAAGTGTGGCTAACTTTAATTTGGATTGAGATGCCATAGAGACTTTCTTGCTAAATTTCACAAGTTTAGATAGAAATTTTGTCATTTGTATTGATTAAATACAAAATTTTTATTTTGTTAATTCATGCGTTGAATATTGAATATTTTACGGAAGAATGTCTTTGTTGTGTATTTTCATAAAGAACCGCCGACTTTAAGAATATCGAGTTTTAAGGAAAATAAACGTTGAATGGAGCGTTTCGTTTAACCAACGAATTAAATCATTTCTTGCCGAGCGTGATGAGCTGAACGTTTTCACAATTCAACAACTAGAATTACTCATTATTAATGCAGAAAAGAAAATTTCTTGAATATACACCGATGACTTTTTAATTCCATAACGAGGCGAAATTTGAGATATCCGCGATATTTGATAAATAAGAAAGAGTTTAATGCAACTGCAATTAATTATGTCGTTGATTCCGATTCCACGAGCCTTTCACTGCACAATTAAAAAGTAGAACGATATACACAATTAAAAAGTAGAACGATATACACAATTAAAAAGTAGAACGATATACACGAGAGAGTTTCGCAAATACAAAGTAAACGCAATTAAAGTCATTATTCTTATGATTCGCGAGTTACGAGAGGTTAGGAAAAATCGCGGCGATGTTTAAGAGATATTCCCAACAGCGGCCTACGGAAAAATCTCGCGTGGGATTACCTGCTTCGCATAACGCGAAGATAAGTAAAAGTTGTTTTCAGCCGCGCGAACCGAGACTTACGAGACTTATTCTGGGCTGAGCGAGAGTAATGGTGGTTAACGGTAGCCAGCAGAAAGTGTGTTCGATTAATCATTAACACCGCTGTCGCGCGGCGGTAGTCGCCGCGCGGATACTCGCGCCTCCGTTAAGTAATGACATAATTTGCAGCTGCATAAACAAGGCTTACTGTGATTTAGATGCGCGCGGTTTTGTGAGCGAAATACACGCGTTCCGCGCCGCGCCGGAAACGCGGTACAGTAGATGGGGAGCGCGTGGAAATTGTATAATCCCGCTGTAAATTGGTTTGAATATTCCGCGAAGAGTGGGCGATAGTTTAGGCGTGGGCTTTATCTTTACACGTTTGCTTTACACGCAAAATGTAAAATGCATGTACTATTTCGTACTTTTAAATTTCATTTTTTTTTGCAACGTCGCACTTTTTTCACCGCGCTTATTTATGAGCGAGTTCGCTCACCGAGCTGTCATTCTTAACAAAGAACAGATTATTTTTCTATATTTAGTTGCTTTTAGTTTGCCCGAGCCGGAGCCGTAAAATCTCCTTCGAGAGACAAGTACGGTTTTAACGGTTGCGGTCTCGAACATTTTCATGTTTACCCGGCGTGATCTCGCAAAACAAGCTACGCAGATGGAACACTAGTGTCTTCTTGTTCCCGTGATCACACACATCTTCGCACTCTGACGGATAATACCGTGCGGAAGACCATGTTGTAGCGCGAGGGTGCGAATTCAATCACCATCTGTGCACGCCCGTTCGTCGCGTCGTACTCGTTTTTCCAGGGGAAAACCCGTAAAAAGACTTTCCGACGCGCAAACATGTAGATCAATCCGTTCGGCGAATAAAACGCGGGTTTGACTTACGGTCGGAAACCGCGCGGAACGTGAACGCGGGTAGCAGGGGATGGCAAAAAGGAAACAGAAAACACTCGTTCCTTCGGAACTCTCGCTTCCCGCGAATTCGACAATCCGTTTCCCGGACTCTAACGAGCGCCAATATTTGTATCCGTAAATCACGTCCCAATATTTGCCTCCGCCGCCAGCAACATTCGTCCTTCAGAAAGTTTTTCGCTTCTCCTCGCTTTTTTTCTCTCTCTCTTTTCCGATGACAATTTTGAAAATCTGTTATTTATTTGCAGCAGAAATTTATTGTTATATTATTTTCACATATTTGTACTACATATCAGTGTATTTGTATTACATAAACAGTATATATATATATATATATATATATATATATATATATATATATATATAAATTAGCAATGCAATCATAGACTGATTATACTGCTAACTGATTTTGCAAGTTGTTAGTTTGATCGCACGTCTTTATTATAATAAGAAATTACGGTATGATTATAGAATAACCAACTTACTTCTCTTTTCTTTTTATTATCGTCTGTCCTTCAATTATTGTACGTTGCTGCGTCAATTAAGTGTGTACCTACGAGGCGGAAATCGTCTACGCGCATAAACGGAAAATCTAAGGAATTTCTTGTGCGAAACACGCCGCACGACGGAAAAAGTTGGCCCCGTGGCACGGAAGCAAAAGAGAAGGGAAGAGAGATAACATTCCTTCGTCAAAGACGAACTTGAAGAAGAAGGGGGATGGCGTTATTAATTATTCTTCGCGTAGTTTGGACTTCGGAGAATGAAACAAGGGAGTCGTCTTAGATTATCGCCCTCTCGCTTCTCTCTCGTGGCGCTGCCGGAGTTCTATCCTACGATCTTCTTTTTGCCATTCTCGGGCTTAATTAACTTTGAATCGCGAGACTGAAATGAGGAGGTAATAAGGAGGGAGCGGGAGACGCGGGGGAGTTATGAAATTTCGATGACGTCGCGTCTCCCGACGATTTCTCGAAACTCCAACAAGGGCGGGACCCTTCATCATCGTCGCGAGATAGGCTTTAATGGTCGATTGAACATAGAATGGCTGATTACATTAGGGACGGCGATTACAGATCGAAAGTTTCCGAGGGTGCGAGTCTTATCTGCGAACCGATGAGACGAGCGGAATTCGCTTTTGTCCGTTCGCCGCTATTGAAATCTTTTAATTACGTACTTAAGATCTCGCGGAGCTGATCGCGTGGGCTGATCGCGAGAGTTTCCGGCGACGTGTTTTACCTGCAACAGAGAATGGACTTCGTTAATGGAAATTACGTTGAGCGAGAAAAAGGCGCTTGACGAGACATTTCGCGCGCGATCAATGTCTCGTGAAATCGTGGAAATGCCGATGCAGCGCGCAGAACTGAAGTTGACTGAAAAGTATTTTAATATGAAAATTTTCGTACAACGTTTCTCTTTCGCGACGCCTCAATGTCGTGAAATTAATAATAATTATATCCATTTACGCAGCAGTAATTCTCAGGCCTCATTCACGGATTCAACTTTCAATTCCCCGTCAGCATGTTATCCTCTATTAACAGTTTATTGAAAAGTATTTTCATTAACGTTTTGTCATCGCGAGGCGCGCCACAAATTCAAGCGATTCGTTGTATGCATCGATTTTAATTGCGAAATATTTTATCAAATTTCCTAGTCCCACGTAGATATATAACAGATATGTAGCAGGTGTACATGTCTGAGAATAGCGCGGGCGTTTCCATTGTTGCTGTTAAACGAACAGCACGTCTTGTAGCATAGTCACGCGCCATGTTCGATTTAGCAGTCTTGCTCTGCATGCCAAGTGACTGTAGTAGCGTAGAAGTTGTCGCCAAATCAAGTTCGCGCGATACTTATGTACGCTACGTGTTCTATTATCCATCAATAGTGGGAAAAACTTCTACACCGCTGGAGATTTTCGTGCGGCGTTTCTCTCTCGCGACATCAAACGTCTCCGCGTCGAGGCTGATCGTAAACTCGAAGACAGAGACGTGCATATTGCGCGTAATTATATAACAGATAAATAGAGTTGATAGTAATTATATCCATTTACGCGTCAGCAGTCACTCACCGACTGAATCAGACCCGAGTCTCGGATTCAATTTCAGCACCACGTCACAGCACGTCACGAATTCTCTATTAACAGGAACGGCATAATAAGCTGATAGATGGAAGTCTCAGGTCAAAGTGAAGAGACGAACAAGGAGATGACACGGTGTGAGAAGAGAGACTGCTCGAACTTAAGGCACCGTACGGTGTATACGTAGTACTCTCTGGGGCTTAATTAACTCTAGAGTACGCGCGGGACTTGATTCCTCATGCGCTACTGCGAAATAATTACGTCAGGGATATTAAAAAGCGCGTATCTACGTACTGCGCGACCAGACGCCTTTAGACACAGCGACACCGTGAAAATGATAATAGATGCACGGGAATTGCGGCCCGAGGCTTTCTCTGTCGGACTTTCGTGCAGCCAAATACGATTAATCGCGCGGCTCCGACCGCGAAAGAATCGTCGCAGATAGATCACTACGGCGGTACGTTCGAATGAATATATAATTGATCGAGTGCGCGTTCATGAATTTCGATCGAACGTCTGCATAATCATTGCCATCTCCGCGATATGTAAGCCGCGGGGGTTTCACCAGTCTTTCTGATCGTAATGAGAAATTCCGGAATCCCGCGGTGTCCCGTGATCTACATCAAAACGCGGAGCCCGTCACAAGGAGTAAGATGAATCGGAGAAAAAAGGAGGAATAATATCCAGCTGTAGCGCAATCAATGGTGAATCTCCGCGTTCTATATTCGCGGAGCGCGGCCGTTAATTCGAAAATGGCACAGCGAAGTGGCTTTGAAGTCTTAACGAATCGGGAAGATTTTCACGAGCCATCGAAGCCGAGTTAATCTGGCTTCGCGAGAAGCAGAATCGAGAAGGAGGAGGGACAGGCGGATAGAGAAAGATAGAAAGGGAATGGAGGTATAAGGCTTTGGACGTAACCGGATGGCGTGCCGACTTAAAGCCACTCCCGGTCTTTTTAAATCCATATCTACTTGGTCGCGAGAGAGGTACCAAGAGAGTACCGGCGCGACGTGCGACTATCTCCCCGTGATTTCTTCGCAGAGCGAACGCCCCGTAAGCGTTTTACCTTTCGCGACATGTATCGCCATCACGATGCCTCGACATTTCCTCCTCGATCGCGTAAACTGGCGCGCCGCACAGAACTCGGTAGTGCTCCATTTGCGAGATTGATGTTCCGCTTAAAAACGTACAAGTCGGTACAAAAAGACGCGCGCAAAAGAGAAAGAGTTATTTTCCGTATAATAAATACAACCGACGCTTGCGCCTGGGGACTCCTTTAATCTGCGACATCAATTTGAATTAAAAGAGTGACGGTTGCACGTTAATTACGTAAATTAGATCCGTTGTGGCCGGACGTACGTGGAGCAAACAAAGTCACGTGGAATACCGATGGAACAGTGCGCGTATGTATGTAGCATGTGAATAAATTATCATATGTTTATTTTTACATTTCCGCCGAACAATTTCGCAAATAAGCATTTTGTTGACGAGACATTTGTGTGAGACGAATAGTATTCTAGAGTTATTACTCCGTGTAACATCATGTTTTTCCATATAAAAGTTTCTCCTTGAGTGTTATGAAAAAAATAATAGTACAATATATATACATATATATATTCGCAGAGTGAGACCCGATATTATTTTAGACACGAAATAAAGGACGACGCTTGCCATCAAATTCTCCCGTATAAATCATAACGTGTTATTCTTTTACACAGACAGCTCCGAACATTCCGAAGGCACGCTCCTGAGGTTTCCAAAATACTATGAGCGTTGCCACGCCACTTCTCGCTCATTTTCTTCGCTCAGTTAATTTAATCGTTCCCACAAAAGATTCCGAGCTATTCTCACGTAATAGTTTAGCTCCTGTGGAAACGGTCGTCCGAAAAGAAATACGACGTCAGTCGTGAGAAACGTCTTTCCACTTTACGAGCGGTGAACGTTCGAGATCTTTGATCGCGCCATGTAGCCTCCTCCCTAATGACGTATCCGGTGTTCTCGTGTTGAATGCGTCACCACTAGTGCACAAGTTTTCATTTAAAAAAACGAGAAGGAAGAAAAACATTGCAGATATATCTGTTTGCGAGCTGTAACGCACAGGAAACGTCTCCGAGAAACCATTTTCGCGCAGCAAATCACTCGACGTATATTTTTATCCCTCGATAAAAGGTATTAGGATGAAAGGTGTAGACGCACGCGAGTGCCGCAAGAACAGCAAACGGGAAGTTGAAGCATCTGTAAGTCCCTCTCGATTCCTACCTGCAACCGACAAAGAGTGGTCGACATGGTTCCGTTCATCTTCGACCTCAAGTCCTTATTATTTTTTTCTGCGCCAGGGCTCGCATTCACCCTTTGAAAATCGAGGTGTATTCTTACGAGACTTGAGACAAAGACCGGATAAGTCAGATTGATTCTGTTAGACCACACTTTGTCGAAGAGCCTTGGTCTCGTAAGAACTCGATGAACTGTTAAGAGCTACGTTCGCTTAAGTGTAGGCTTCTAATGACGGGATCAACGACCTTATACAACTGCGAAAATACTTGGCGTGATTTACGTGAATTAAGAGTGTGCAACTTCATCGAGTGGCAGCTTGAACGAAATTGTTTTCGTTCACACCTGCACGCGCTAGACTGTGCCGTGCTTTATTGCAGTTACTTATTGTTTCACGAGTTTGTCTGACGAGCTATTAAAAATTGATCGAACAGGCAGAGAGAGAGAAAGAAATAAAGAGCAAAAAAGGGCCTTGAGACTAAAAGTTCGTTCCATCACCTTACCACTGCGGTAAAGACACAGAGCGTCTACGACGGCGGACACTGTTTGATCTTAAACTGGCAGCTGTTCGAGTGAAGTCAAACTGAGCTTAGAGTGCCTTGCGGGTGGCAAACTTTGGCAAGAGAACTTCCACTTAGTAAGCATGCTAAAAGAAACCTCGTCACGAACACCGAAGTTTTTCTTGCATGGTAAGAGCTAAAACGACGGAAAATTCCTTGGCTCTGTGAGTTTTACGACTGATACGTTTTCTTTTTTTGTCAGACATTAATATTCCGCCCAGGGTTCCTCGCTCAAAGCCGCGACACACATTTTCGTACAAGAACTTCGTTAATATTTCAGCGTTAAATGAACCACCCATTAAAATTCTGTCATTTATGTTGTACGCGACTAATTTTCGGAAATTTGCAGTGATAATTCGTTACTATAAATTTCTCGTTTTAAAATACAATATTATGCAGGCATAAAATACGCGACTTCTTTCTCCGTACATCTCTGCGGAAGTATTTTACAAATAATAATTGTACATATTGTATTACGTATAAAATTCTTATAAGACTGAAAATTTATGAAACGATATAATATTGTATTTGCGTGAAACGAGCAAAAGCTGGAGGAAAGTTAAAACACGGGAAAGGTAAAACATAAAGGAACGTCACTGCTTTTTATTTAACACGAAAGATTCGGGACTATCTGGGACGCAATCAACAGTGGCGACAGCAAGCATTTCTCTCGGAATTAAAACTTCGGGCAAGATATCTCCGCGAATGTTTCTCAATCTTTGTCAACGGTAGAGAGATCCCGAGAGAGTTATGGAAGACACCTGAATGCATATTTGATTCTAAATTGCATTCGGACACGCATAATATGCGTATATAAAAAAACATGGGATGTCATTTTGTTAAAATAAAGAATAATTATCCTAGTAAAATTGCATTCTAATAATATTGAGGATATTTCCTTGTGAAACTTGCACCAGATAACGGCTTAATTGGAGATATGGAGATCAAAGAAAGATACATACACACAGATGTGGCGTTCGCATTAAACTGAGTCGCGATCGCGATCGCGATCGCGAGGATAGTGTGAGAAAAAACAAATTCGGGCGACTGTGAGATTTGTCGGGAGTTAATTTGCTCCCTCGGCTCTCACCCTACTTGTGGTTAATTGTTGGAATGCGCGCCGCTTACAGGCTGAAAGTGCGCGGAAAAACGGGCGTCCTCGCTTCTTGCGGTCGGTGCATCTCTCCTTGCGCTCGTTGCACACCGCGGATATAAAGCCACCTCTTTAATCTCCGCTGCACGGAGCCAGGGGTGTACTTCGTAAGGCGTTTATTGTCGGAAATGGTGCGCTCTGCCGGCGCTCGTAATTCCCTTGTC